TTAAGAAAATGTATTTTTCAAAACGTGGAGCAAATAATTTGTTTCAATAATTAACTTGTAAGGAGCTAAGCCTTCATCAAAGCCAAAAGATAAATGGAGAAATTTCTTTATTATATGGTAATGGTTCAAAATCCGGTGGTTGTAGAAATACCCGTGGATGCATGCTTCATTAAACAGAGATAATCTCTGTTACGATTAATTTATGGACTTATGCTGGTCTATATTGGTCGGCGTATACAAGTCTTTTATGTGATCTGAAAATTACCTTTAGGAAAAGATAGCAGAAAACCAAAAAAATAATTGTTAATGCCCAATAGCAAAATATGACAATCTGATCATCATCTTTAGTTCTGCTGTCCGGCGCCATTTCCTCATGTGTGAACAGCAAAAGTGAGCAGGGTAAATTATCTAATTAACTTTGTCAAACTGGGATAGAAACCATTCCTGCACTGAAGTGAATTAACGTCGGAAAGGGTTCATTCTGCTGGGAGAATATAAACAGGTCGGCGTGTGTGTATCCAATAATGCACTCACGAATATAATCTGCTCGCTAAGATTATAAGCACTTTATTCCTGATTAATGTTTAATGTTCATTTTAAGAAGATTATAATTGGGAAATATTTCAGTGGATATTCAGTTTCTACATTCTCTTACATGGTTTTTTTATTATCGTTATTTTAATTAGTTGTGGAAGCATGGCATTCCCTTCTAATATTTAGTATTTTTAGGGTGATGTGATAGTGTGAATTAATTACGAAATCTTTAATTAATTAACTCGATCTCCCTGGCTGAGATAATGTGATAGGACTGTAGTTATCGTTAATCAGTTTGCCTGCAAAAATTACAAAGAAAAATTTAAAATTTGCTACAAGACACTTAAAACTGTGATATTTGCCAGTAGACACTAAACGCGTGAATTTGTCCGATTACACCTTAAAAGTCATTAAAAATATTATTTTCATTAAAAGTGGAGGGAGAATTTTTAACTAGAATGACTTTGTTGCCCCTGTGTTCTTCCTCCACCCATTCCTTTCACGTACATCGAGGGTGCACGAAGCGAGAAGTGACGGAACGACTATGTGATGTGGTGATGTTGACTGCATAGAGTGGTGGCGATGACCTTGCAACGGGGACGGCTAGAGGTGCAGCGGTGAGGATTGCGCAATGGGGCGGCATGGCGGAGGCGATCGTGCGGTGGGGCGCGTGTGAGTGGCTTGCGACCTAAGCGCAGCAGGGGTGCGCACACAAGGAGTAGCAACGTGACTGCAGGATGCAGTAGTGGTGAACTCGTCCAACACGATGCAGCGGTGAGCACGCTCGTGGTGAGGATGGCGACCTTGCGGTGGGGTGGTGCATAGTGAGGATGACACGGTAGAGCAGCGACCTCGCAGCAGGCCCCGCAAGTGAATCCTGCAAACTCACGCGTAATAGGGACGCAAGGAGCGGCGGCGTAGCGGTGAGGACTACATGGTGATGAACCTCATAGTAGGACATGCATGCGTGGCCTGTGCTCATGCGCAGCAGGGGCACACAGGCGTATGGTGCGGCGTGGCAAACTCAATGCCCGAGGAAGATCAAGAGAAGGGAGAAGAAGATAAGGTTAAAACTGATATTTTACGTAGTTTCGATCTCATTAATTGGGTGGATAGTGTATTTCAATACGTCCGGTTTTCTGTGGTAAATTACCATATTTTCAGAGTATCCTCGAATAAATTCATGTTTTTTTTGTCTATCAGTAAAGACCGTATTTTTTTTCAAGTGTAATGTTGGAAATTTACCGAATTGCAAACCCCAACTCGAAATGTCATCATCTCAGGCAATGCTTGCCACCAAACTTAGTTGTCCTGTCATGTTCAGTGCAAGATTTTCATTGGATTGGATTTAGTTTCGGATTGCTGCTGCTACGCTCTTATGGACCATTTACTTCTTCTCTGTTTTCTTTACACTAATGCTTTTTTGGTGTAGTTGGTCAAGACACTCAAAAGTAGTTAATGCACAAATATTATGCACCTCTTGACCTATAGTACTCTTAACTGTATTAAGTATAGCCATAATACATGAGTGTCAATTGGTTATAATTTTTTAATTTGCAACAAAACAAACCTAGTTTAGTTCTTCTCTGAAGGGTGTCCTTTTCTATTACCGGCCAACGACGTAGCTATAGATCTTAAATTAGTTTCACTTTCATCAGCAGATGCAAGATACCTCTAGATCCAGTTCGCCATGATATGTCGCCTTCTAGACATATTAGATGTGTCATATCAGCAACCACTTTGGTAGTGTGTTCATTCCAAACATTATTGTGCCATTAGATGCATGCAAATGGCGATGAGACTAAAAGCTTGTGAGATGAACAAACAGTAAATTGAACTATTAAACAATAGTTGGTGACCTTAACAATTATAATAAGTAGTGTGACATGCCTAGGGTATGGAATCAATTATGTTGCTGATAATTTCTCGAGAAATCCAATGTGTATTGGGCTAAATTTTGTTGTTTGGCTGGGCCTGCTGTTGGATTTGGTGGTAGCTCTGAGGAGAAATGCAATGCACGAGGATCAAAATTAACATGAAACTAGTTATACTACTGTCAATACAAAGTTTAATGATTTTCAGTTTTTTTTCTTGCTCTATCATCAAATGTATTCACGGCCTTATGTTACTGGTCCGTAATCTGTGCAAAACTTAGTGGTAAGAGCCTAATTTTTCTGAAAAAAATATCTAAGCAACAAAATGCCTAACATCCTGCTCATGGTCTCATGGGCCGAAGTCGCAATAGCACCATAAATTCAATAAATATTTACCATAAATTTCATAATTTCTCGTTGTAATGTATATATTATACAAATGAAAGCAATGTCTGTCCTAATGATGTGCAGATCAACAAGATAAGTTTGTTGGCCTACATCTGTTGCCCTCAACTAATTATTGTTAACCCAACTCCAATAATGCAGCCCATGTGCTGAATCTTCCCAACACAACATCTATCCATGTGGTAACATTGGCTAGCCCATAAAAAGCTACTGCATAACCTGAAAGTGGATCAACAACTAAGAGTTTGAGAGAAGAAAATGTGAGACATATCTCTTGCTACTGTTAAAATGGAGTTGCCCTCTTCCCCAACCATGAGACCTTCCCCACGTAAAAAAAAACAAAACAAAACAAAACATTCCTAAAACACCACCTATAAAAAATCCGGATAAAAAAAATCTGGACCCTGTAAAATCATTCATCAATCTTTTTCTAGAACCCGTTATAATGCACGAGCATTATAATGTAAAACCAAATTAGCATTATATTTGATAAAAAAATTCAGTTCAGTATTATACCGCTCATGTTTTAACAAAGTATCATTAGACCAAAAATTCCAAGCCAATTTTTATCATACTCAATTATTAATTATGGTACCAAATGCGATTTTGGCCACCACATGGTGATTTTGATCTTCAAGCTAGGGCGAGCTATACTAGATAAATCTTCGAAATCAGAGGTTTTACTGAAGGTTTAAAATCAGAAGTAGCTATAAACCAGATTATTCTTGAACTACCATACTAAGAACATCCCACATTCCTCTATATTTTGTTTTCTTCAGTTGCACAAACCTTTATATAGAATATAGTATATATACAGTTTTGCTGCCTTTTACCTTCTATGATACAGCTGCTGTGCTAGTGGAACTTTCAGCTCAAACTTGCAATTTTTTTTACCCTTAGCTCAAACATTGGTGAGGTTCAGTTTGGGTTTCTAGTTGCAAAAGAGGATGAACTACCACCACCATAGGAGGCGTTTTGGGTTTCCATAACGTATAGGTGGAAAAGGTCCATGGAAAGAATAATCCAAAAGGGAGAGATCGTTTCATTATAAGATAATTTGTCGAACAGCAATGAAAAATTTCTAAACCATAGTGCATACGTTCCTTATGCCGCTCCAGTGGCGGATTTGCATAAATATACTCCCTCCATTCTCACCGTTGACTATTGACTTCTCAATTTAATCACGAATGTTTAAAATGATTAGATTGTGATGAAATAAAGATGTGTGGTTATAATGTGAATAGCAGTGGATAACGAGCCAACTCAGCTCATTTGAGCTCACTATCTTAATGAGCCAGCTCAGCTCAGCTCGCGAGCTAGTACGTTAGGAATTCATATCCTCTACATTAGAGATATTAATGCAAAGGCATTAGCAAGAATCAGAACGTGCGCTTGCTACAGTACTCAGCAGTGCGCGATAGTGTTTTCAATCTTGTAACTACAGTGAAGTGTCACTGTTCATTGCATAAGTCCATTGTTCCTACATGAACAGTACTTCTCTGCAGTATTGTAGATGATCCGGATAGCTCGCGAGCTAGCTTGTTAAATTCACAAGCTAAACGCCTAGCTTAGCTAGACTCATTAAAACTACGAGTTATCCAATCAAGCCAAGCTACGAGCCACGAGCGTCGAGCCTTTTGTCCACCCCTAAATGTGAAGCTACACCCATAGTTTTCAAATTTATATTTCCTTTGCTAGTTGCTAGAAATAAAAGTGGTCAAAGTTTGAAATTGAACAGTGCAAATATCAATTATTCAAGAATGGAGGTGGTATAATGTACCCTCCACAAATGTTTTCCTTTCTTTGTAACTTCTATTAACTTCTAGACTTGTGATTGATAAACGTCTACCAGATAACCCACAATGTCAGATCCAAATTAAGTGAAGAATCACCAGGATGGAGCTGCTGCTCCTCTTGATAATATACACTACGATGATTATTCAACACCCTACCGTTTTGCATTGTGATTACCAAATGAGAAAAAATAGAGAGTATTCAGAACCTTTAGTTCAAGACACCATGGCAACATGGGTTCCTTGCCTGCTACTGCCACAGAAGTTGCGATAAAAATAAACCGACGAATTCATGGCTTTCAAGGGCATATGTATGCAACAAATCCTGCTATTTACCACTACAAGCTGTGATAAACTTCCATCACAGCATACAGTTCGGAAAACCGCAATCGCAGATTGAAAAGAAATTATTTATTTGTTGTTCAAGGAAACCTAATGCTCAGTGAAAAAAAAAAAGGAGGATTACAGGTTCTAAACAGAAAGGTCTCCCATCTAATCTAATGCGATTGATGGAGGTCCACGAAATGCAAAAGGAACTTAAGAACAGAAATGGGAGCATAGGCCAACTGAATATCAAGTTATAAGAATCCAGAAAAGGTCTAGGAAAAAGAAAAGAACTTTACAACTTGCACATAAATGATTTTATAAGACTCCACTAAAAGAAATCGAATTCAAGATAATTGTCTGAACCTTTCTCAGCAGTTGTTGTAGCCTTTTGACTGGTTGAGGCTACTGACCTAGGGATCTCAACTGGCTTGGGAATATCTGGAGGAGTTGCACACCTTATCAAGGCCCAGTTAACACCTTCAAAAAAGGGATGTTGCTTTATTTCTGTCGCTCCACGCTTATAAGCCAAACGATGTTGTGGTTCCTTAATAAGCAAACCCCGAATAAGGTCCTTTGCAGCAAAACTCACAACAGGTGATTCTGGGAACCTTAGGGACTGTCCGACAACATTGAACAATGTTGCTCTATTCCCTGAACCTTTGAAAGGTGTCTTGCCAAAAAGAAGTTCATACAAGAATATGCCAAAAGTCCACCAGTCGACAGCACTTCCATGCCCCTCACCCTTTATAATCTCAGGTGCCAAGTACTCATGGGTGCCAACAAATGACATCGATCTTGCATCTGTAGGTTCTGCAACAAGCTCAGGAAGTGGTCTGACCTGACTTGCAATGTCTGTTTTTGCCTTCTTCTCCTTTTTGGATTTGGAGGAGAAAAAGCGTGGAGCGAAGCATGTGGTCGTTGTAACACAAGAGGGTTGGATACAAGCTGGCTCGATGCACACTGGCTGTACACAATAAGATGGATTACCCTTTTGGTTTGGATCTACCCCAGGGTTTGAGGATTTCAGAAGGGTAGGGCTCACAGCACATCTTAGGGACAAATCAAAATCAGACAGCATGATGTGGCCATCTTCTCTCACAAGAACATTTTCTGGCTTAAGGTCCCGATATATGATGCCAAGCATATGCAGGTATTCTAGAGCAAGAAGCACCTCAGCCACATAAAACCTGCAAAAGAATTAATCAACCAAACATCAACATGACTCTCTTAGACTTGAGCAAGGTTTAGTACTATCACTCCATGATACCAGAAAACCAGGGCAGACACCCCAAGTAACAACAGCAAAACAAAAACAATATAAACATGTAAGGACATGATGAAGAGATCATAACTCTTCAATATACTAGAACATCAAAAACTACAAAATTGTCAGGACAACCACATGTAAGATGTAGAAAATAAATGTCTTTCACATCCATCAATCTCTTTTTCCATTAGCAGACAATAACAAAAAGAACTGAAGCAACACATTAATAAAAACCATAAAACTTAAACAACCATATGTACCAAGGGGGAAATGCAAGAAAAAGATGTAGTAGTTTATTTTTTTTTTTAATTTTCATGTAGGTTCAATACACAGTTCCTAAGAAGGATGAGTCAGAAAGCATGGCATGAGGAGGAAAAATGATACATGTCTATGAAAAAAAAAGGAATTATTAATAGCCATATTTGAATTGAATGGTATGCAGATGCATGGTTCTCAGAAATTAAGAGCACGGTGGATTTGTCCTTCTAATTCCAATGACACGTCTTACAGAGCTTAATTTTTCATCAAACCATATGTTCAATGGTTCTTTAGCACCACCAAAAAGAAGCTGGCCTGAGCCGCAAACATAAAAGTGCTTATCAGATCTTAACAAGTGTTACTATAAAAGATTCCAAACAAGTAATAAAATCCAGGAGGATCCTACAGTCCGCGCCAACCAAAAAGCATACATTTGAGTATCTTTTGCCAATTGTTCAGCATTTCAATCTGATAATATATAAATCAAGGGCAAACTGTGATAATTAAATTGCAGGCACAAGTGCATGAAAAGGAAGCTGATTAGACACCTATTGGTTAATATGAGAAGATAAAAAGTATAAGGCCAATTGATTGAGATGATCACAAGTACTTATAATCTTATAGATTTAAGATGCTTTACTAAATCCCATCTCAATGATTTATCAAAGGGTTGGTTGATTGTGAATGTGATTAGACACTTACTTGGCAGCTTGTTCCGGAAAAAACTTCCCCGGTTGCTTTTGCCTTAGGGTGTGCAGGTCTCCTCCAGGGCAAAACTCCATTACTAGGCATGAGAACTTATCAGTCTCAAAATGAGTGTACAATGTTGGCAAAAAAGGATGGTCCAGGCACTGCAATATCTCCCTTTCAGTCTGGGCTCTCAGTAGCTTTTTGCGGCTCGCTAGAGACGCCTTGTCCATAATCTTCATAGCGAAGTAGCACTTTGTTCCACTAAGCTCCGACAAATAAACACTGCCAATGTCACCACAACCAAGCCTCTTAAGTAGCCTGAAATGGCCTAACCCCAGCGAACCTTCTTTGGTTCGGACCATCTGTATCGCTTCCCACCTTGAATCATTCGACTTGTGAGGTTTGCTCGCGCTGCTGCATATACTGCTGCAGGTGCTCTCATCACTCACATCACTGCCAGCACTGGCTCGATAAACACTGCTCTTGCTGCTCCCAACAATGTCAGCAGCATGGTCGCTCACCTTCGTGCTGCCACTCACCTTTGTCAGGCTGCTTGCCCTGTCGCTGCCTTTGGCAGAAGCCGAGCTATCCTTAACGCTGCCGCGCAACGAGCTTTTCTCAGCATCTTCATTGCCATCCAGCTTCACAGATTCATCAACAGAACAGCTATCCTTATCTTGTTCTTTCACCCCACTGGACGTGGCTACATCCCCCAGCAGAGTCTCTCTGGATGAAGCAGTCCCAAGTTTACCCCCTCTCGAAATAACTTCTTGGGATTGCGACATTTCAGAGGATGCCGCCATGGTTTTATCGCATTTCTTGTCGGTGACTACATCAGGAACAGCCTTGGAAGCCATCACCAGGTAGGAATCAATCAGTCAACAATTCCTCTCAATGGTATCAGCATATCCCGGCCAATCAATCCATCAATCAATCAATCAATCAGGAACCGGAACCTATCAGAAAGATTGCAGAGAAATTAGGCTGCGGGGGGGAAGCGAGAAAGATTGATCCATGAACACCCGATCAAATCAAGAATCAAGAATTGCCCACGCCGAATGGATCTGAGATCGAGAGGCTCCCCCATTCCACAAAAGGAAATCTGGCGGGAGGATAGGCAGTAGCAGTATCAGGAGGAAGAGGAGGAGGAGGCTACTCACGTTCTGACGAATCAGTCGCCGGAGTCGGAGAAGCTCGCCGCCGGCGACGCGGGCACCGCCCTTCCCGGGGGAAGAAGCGGCGGGCGAGGGGTTGAAGCCGTCTCGTCACGGGTGGGAGGTGGCTCCTCCCGGGCGGCGGGGGTGGGGTGGGGAGGGGGCGGCGGCGGCGGCGAGGGTAGAGGCCGTCCCGGGAGGGAGGAGGGGCGGCGCGCGGATGGAGGTGCGGCAGTGGCGGATGGACGCGGACGTGGTGGCGCAGACTGGAGAGGAGTGAAGACGCCGTCGTTTTCTTTTTTTTCTGTTGTTTTTTTATTTAGTTTTCCTGCAGTTTTAGTGGACCGAATTTTATTTATTTATTTGTTGTTGTTGAAGACTGAAGAGAGAAACAAAATATGGGCCGTGCTGGTTTTTCGGCCCAAAATTACTCATCTTTTAGTGAGTAGTACCATGCGTTGGAACAGGGGCCAATCCATCAACGGTTTTATGTTAGCTCAGTTTTTTTATTATAGGTTTTCATTAGTGAAAAATCTAAAAAATACTATTGACAATCGTCCAATTTCAAAAATATTATCGATAAGTGCAAGTTTCATGAAATATTATTATACTAGTGATTTTGTCACAGAAATATCATTGACGTTAGGGTTTTGTTAGCAGCCCTCCTTTAAATTATATAGGATTCAGTTAAAAAAATTCTATAGGATTAACGACGCATTTAATGAGATAGGATGGACGGAACATTAATGGTGATGGCATTTCTAGGACAAAGTCGTTTGTACAATGATATTTCATAGAATTCACACTTGTCGATAGTATTTTTAAAATTAGGTACTTATCAATGATATTATTGATAATTCTTGAATTTTCTTTTTTCTACGTCCCAAAGAAACTGACATAACTTTGACTAAAGTGGTGTGTGATGTGACAAAGTCAGCAAACTAACCAAACACCCCGAAATACTCATTCGGAAACCACTTGTTACCGCTTACCAGCCCAAAATGCACAACATTCATGCAATTTCATACATCTCTACTATTTATAAAAATTGAAGATATTTTCATTAGAATTTTGGTACGTTATCCGTGTTTGAATTGGTTTTAATTTATGTTTTTGTTAAATCATTTCCTTTTTTTAAGTGTCCCTCTTATATCCGAGACGCAAGTGTCCCTCTTATATCCGAGACGCGCACGAATTAATTGGAACCACACTTTTTCACGCGCCCCTTATTGCACGCGCAATTGCCTAAGCCTGTTTTCCATGGGTCAGTATGTGGGCATATGGCGTATGTGAGCTATGTGTGAGACACATGGCATGGCATATGACGCTGCATTGGATGTACATGCATTGGATGTACAGACGTGCCCTAAGACGAGGCATGTTCCTAGATATTTGGTTATGTGGGACCGATAGAGACGTCGGGTCCTTTGAGGATGTTGTATGACATCCTAACCCAATTAGAATATTGCATGTGTGTCTCATGAGAGCTGTATACGCATGTTTAGCTATGTGGGACCGATGGAGACGTCGGGTCCTTTGAGAATATCGCTAAATTAGCAAAGGTGGAACCAACTTGTAAGGGTTTATCCCTCTAACTATGTCACTTCCGGATTAACCCTTTTAAGGTAACTGGACTCGTCCATTAAGAACAGGTTAGTGGACTCGCCCATTAAGGACGGGTTGTTACACATATTATACCCGCTTTTGAGTTTGATTGGCATGAATGAAACTCTTCAAATAGTTAAGGGATGTAAACTGAACGTTTTCCTTTAAGAGATACTAGTTCTTTTATTATGTTTCATATTTTAATGAGATATATTTTATATTTATTATTTAGGTTTAAATCTATAACAGAAAAATAAGATGTAATTACTACTTAAGAAAAACCACTTTCGTATGGTTGGGACCGGTCTTAGATGCCGAATTGGCAAGACACCCTTCGGGAGGCACTCATGAGGTGTTTTATAAGGCCTTGTTTAGTGGGGGAAAATTTTTAGGTTTGGTTGTCACATCGGATATAAGAACATTTGAATTATTAAACGACAGATTTCGCCATGAAACTGTGAGATGAATTTATTAAGCCTAATTAATCCATCATTAACAAATGTTTACTGTAGCACAACATTGTCAAATCATGGCGTAATTAGACTTAAAAGATTCGTCTTATAATTTACACGCGCACAACAATGTCAAATCATAGCACAATTAGGCTTAAAAGATTTATCTTGTAATTTACACGCAATATGTGTAATTGATTTTTTTTTACATATAATACTTTATGCATGTGTCCAAATATTCAATTTGATGTGATAGAGTGAAAATTTTAGTTTCTGAGACGGTCGTAAGAAACCTCCGACCGACTGGGCGGGGCAGCGTGCTGCAGTCCAGCACCGAAATCCAGGTATGCCCTTGGACTTGCGACTTGTTACACTTTTGAGAGGAACACTCCGTGGATATGGAGTTGGCTCATCGACCATAGGGGAACTGTATTTGTCACTTACGTGCAGGCCACTAATTCACTAGAGTACTTCAGTGTGCAATGTTTTAACGCAAGACCCAATTCAAATGTCTGGTCAAATATGCAACTTGGGTAACAACAAAACAGAAAAACTATACAACGGGATTCCGTCGTACCGGATCGGCTCTCTCCTCCTCGCGTGGTGGCCTGGCAGCTCTCCCTCGGTCCCTCCTTTGTCTTGCCTCCTCTTTCTTCTCTCATACAGCTCGTGATCCAGCTTCTTGCAGAGGCCGTGCGCAGCAGCTGTCAGCTAGTGGCTGCTCCACGGGGAGGTTGATTCATGCGGTGTGTTGCTACGTCTTTGGATTAAGGAACTTTTTTTTATGCAAGAGGTGGTTTTAATTGATCCAGTGTTCGCTTCATTTTGTTTAGTTTCGGGAAAGTAAATGTTTTCATTGATGATCCATTTGGTTTAGGGGAGCTACGGATTTTTATCCAGAATGTGTCAGTAGAATAGCTGCGTATCAAACCTCAGCTAGTTGTTTCTACTCAGATCTGGACGCATCCCAAGTCCCAATAAAATAGAAATGGCTTGCAGCTGCAATGTATTAATAATTAGGATTTTGACAAGTTCGATCGTGGTTGCCGTGGATGGCATATAAACTAGTGAAGGGTGATATGTTAGACTTGATCCGTGTCCCTGGCCCATAAATATCAGATTATGTAGTACCTGATACTAATAAGGATTGATGAGACCCAGTATCAGTAGGTATCAAATCAATCTGGTACTCGGTACCAATACGTATCAGGTCCGATACCAATAGTATCAGGTCATGTATCATGTATCAACAATAATCAGGCTTATTACCGATAGTATCAGACCCGATACCGATAAGTATTAAGATTGGTAGGTATCATGTCTTATACATATTAGATCTGATACTGATAAGTATCAGGCAAAGGTATCATGTTTAGTACCTAGTACCAACAATGATCAGGTATGATACTGACATGTATCAGACTTGATTGATAGGTATCATGTATGGTACCTGATACTAACATTGATTAGGCCCGATATCGATAGGTATCTAACTTGATTGATTGGTATTATGTATGGTACCTAGTATTAACAATAGGTATTATGTATGGTACCTGGTACTAACAATGATTAGACCTGATATCTATAGGTATCATGTGTGATATCCGATACCTGGTACCTAATTATCAGTCCCAATATATATAGATACCAGATCTGGTATATGTCAATATCAGCTATTAGCACATATATATAAACACAACCATATCATAAAGTGTCCATGGATATATATACTAGCAAGGATTAGATCCTCATTTAGTGTTGCACTCAGCAAGGTTAGCTACTCACGTCACATGCATGTATGCACTTAGCAGCACACCCACTAGTAGAGATGATGGATGCGTATAGATTTCCCGTCGTCAAGACTACGCTGGCCGGCGGCAGCGCCCATGGAACTGCTAGCACCAAGCGCGCCGCCAGCACCAAGAGAGACAGGGATTAATTGGTTGTTCACGGCGCATGCGCAGCGGCGTAGCAGACTCGACGTCCTCGATGTGCTGCTGCACTATGCGCACCCGACGCGATCTAGCTCGCGACTCAATGTGCTGCTCGTATAGTGGCACGATGCGCACCCGACGCGATCTAGCTCGCGACTCATGCATGTACGTAGTGTGGGAGGAAGTCGGAATAGTGTGGGAGGAAGTCGGAATATGAAGTCATGATATCCCGTTTTGACGGAATCCCGGGCTGTAGCAGCCCTCAGAACAAAAACCCAAATTGTAGTTCACTCATCTAAAAAATATTGTTGTAATGAACCAAGCTAAGTCAGCAACATTCGAAAGTTCACCATATAAAACATCTTCTGTTTCGAAAGCAAAAATTCTAAATGAAGCAAATAAAAGAAGCACAAATTAAAATTGGCATCTTTAAGGCCGAAAACGTTTTTAATGACTGCCAGTTACAAGATGCATGCGTTGCGAGATTCATACTTCGTTAAAACCGTTTGAGCCCAAGTTACAAACCAAAATACGGAATACAAGGCAAGAAATAGGCCGAGGACTAAGCGTATTCAGTTGCAATTAACAAAGTGACTGTAATCCTGCATCGAGCCATAATGCTGTTTTCCGAAAACCATTTCAAAAACAGAGATTAGTTGTTCAACACCAGGTGCAACAGCATACTTACGACAAGAAAAACCATCAGTTCACGACCGAATCAGGTTAAAGAAAATCCAAACACCTCCAAGATTTGCGTTTTGAGAACATAGTAATAGATTCAGTACACAGAGATAACGGTTTTGACGAAGTATGAGCTAGTAGTATTCCGAATTTCCGATAGGCCAAACAAGCGGACAACCAGCCAAAATTTTCACTCAGCCAAAAGCCACAGGCTATATAATAATCTGATCTAACAAACAGGCAGAAGGGGGGCAAAGCTTCCTTCTCTAGGCCTTCCTGGCTGCGATCTGAGACTCAGGCTGCATAACACATTCACAATCAGATGGTAATAAAAAAAAACATCAACCAGCAGTTAGCTTATACAATGGACTTCTCAAGGTACAGATGCACATACCTCTTTCTTCACTGGTTCTTCCTTCTCTGACAGGATAAGCTCAATGTGGCACGGGGAGGACATGTAAGCTGCAAAGTATCATTTGCTCATGAGACAAAGCATCACCGAACTCTACAAAGAGCATACAAAAAGGTATTGACAAACTTACGGTTGATGCGTCCATGAGCACGGTAGGTACGGCGCCTCTGCTTCTGGGCCTGGTTAACTTGAATGTGGGACACATAAAGAGTATCAACATCCAGACCTTTCACCTATGGTGAAGCAATGAAGAAAGTAAGCATCACAAAACAGTTAATGACAAGCTATGAAATCTCACAATCTACATTGCAAACCTCAGCATTGCTCTCTGCATTCTTAAGAAGATCCAGAATGAATCTAGCAGACTTGGCAGGCCAGCGTCCCTGACCGTTTGAATGGCGTGACTTAGCTTGAGCAGTGCGGCCAACACCACCGCAGTACCTACGGAAGGGGATAGCTTGCTTGTGGGCAATCACATCCTCAAGGTACCTCTTGGCCTTGCCCAGAGGCAACTTCCTGATAGCAAAAGCTGTCTCACGGGTGTTCTGCAATTGTATGAAAAAAGAACATTAGACAACAAAAGAATAACAAATGCAGCAGCTAAGAAATGCTATAGCATTAACATAGAAGGGATAACTACCAACCACATAAAAACACATTTCAACAACAGCTGTTAACTGGAGTATTCACAAAAATGTGCCATCATTTACTGAACCAATGGACATTGAATAGCCCAACGGTTCACCCAATAACGATGAAACATGTTCCTAAAATTTACGAGGACACTGCTTATAGAGAGCACAGCATCCTGCTTTTTTATTTAGGGTAGTAAAGAAAAACGATGAAACATGTTCCCAAAATTTACGAGGACACTGCTTATAGAGAGCACAGCATCCTGCTTTTTTATTTAGGGTAGTAAAGAAAAACTGTGCAACATTACAATTGAATATTACAGGTTGAATGCAAAACTGAACCAGTTACATTACAAGATCGAAAGTCACAACACAAGAAAATTATGTGCGTATTATGCCATAGTAATTTACTTACAACGTTGAAACAGACTACAACAGAAAGAGAGGAATCAAAATGTACATGGTATTACAATTGTGTCATCATTTACTGAACCAATTAACATCAAGCTGTGTCAATTGATTCACCCAAGAACAATGACTCACTCTGATATTCCTAAAGTTTACGAGGACAATGCTTATATAGAGAACAACATCCTGCTTTTCTTTAGGTTCATATTAGACAAAGATAACAAAGTATAAATTACCAGATAATTGAATGTTGAACATAAATAAGCCACCATTTACTGAACCAATAATAGACGTCAAGTTTAAGTCCACAGGTTCACCCAATAAGAATGACAATGCTTACATAGAGAACATCCTGCTTTTTTTCATTAGGTGAATATCACCTAACAAAACAGTAGGTGTGGCAGACACTTGCAATTTCTGTTAATGAAATGTTCAATAAAACATGGACACACAAAATTTTGATATATGCTAAACATAACAGCTTTAACTTAAACAAAGTACTAACTAAATTTCCAAACAAGTGTGCCATGCCTACAATTTCATTAAAAAAGTTTGCCAGTGTATGCCATTTTGTAAGCAAAATAAAAGCATAGTAAAAATGTGCCATCATTTACTGAACCAGTCAACATTGAGCTGTGTCCACCGGTTCACCCAATAACGATGAACATGATGTTCCTAAAGGTTACGAAGATACTGCTTATAGAGAGAACAGCATCCTGCTTTTTTCTTTAGGCAACGAGTCCTCTAACGTTAAACTTCAAAACTACCAATCAGCTAAATTTTGGATATCCGAATCTTCTAATTGTAACCAAACTGCATAATACATCGAACTTCAGATAAACATAATAATTCATAACATAGTGCTACCTACAAGCAAGAACTACCGTGGAAATAAAGCTCAACATGATAAAACACATCTAACTAAATGGCTGCGTATCTTCTAAAACCTAGGGTTCAACTCAAGTATTACAACGAAACAAGCAATTAAAAACAGAAATGCATTACAATGAATCAACCAATTAAAAACAGTGGCGAGATCTCTCGAAATGCATTCTTGGAACTCGGGAAGCTCACCTTGAAGTGCACACGCAAGTCCCGGCCCATGGCCTTGGAGGCTGCAGCGAATCAAAGAGAAACCCACAGGTCAGCAAAAACCCTCAGATCCACACGGTTCACCATAGAAGACGGGGAAAGGGAAGCTTACACTTGGTGGGGTTGTTCGCCTCCCTCGAGTACTTCACCTGCGAACCACCAAGAACAACAACGGAATCGCGAGTCAGAAGAGAGCCATACCGAGAGAAGCATCGGTGAGAAGGCGGCGGAGAGAGAGAGATGTCGCGGCGAGATGAGAGAGGGAGAGGGAGGCTCACCATGGCTGAGGCGGCGGCGGAGAGGCGCCGAGGAGGAGGAGGCGGCGGCGGCGGCGGCGGAGCGAGCGAAGGATGGAAGAGGGAAACGACGGCGCAGGAGAAGCATTTATATAGGGGGGAGACGAAACCTAGGGAGCAAAACCCTAATGGGCCAAGGTATGGGCTGTTTGCGCGCGGCCCAAGATGGCAACGACTCCCTCAGCCCAAACCGATGCTGTACATTCTTTCTTTTCAAAAACAATGTGAGGTAATTTCTGTAAATCATTTTTAAGGGATTGCCAATTTATGTTACTGTATTTTTTTCATTGTATTGAAAAATGTGTAGATGAGAGAAAACTATGGCGTTCAAATTTCCCCTCCTGGTTATTGCCACCCACTACTATATATATAAATACTATTTATTTTGAATAATTATTTATGCCATCAACTCATGCTTTGCACGGGCAATTATTATTGATAAAATATTAAAATTTTAGTCATATGATAAATATATTAAATATTAAAATATTAATCTTATGATTGATAAATATATTGGTTTATTTTCTAATTGTATAATGATAGTTTAGGAGAAAAAGTCCGTGTAACTGCATCTTGCTAATAACTAATTTTAAATTTCATATACATAAATAAAACTAAATTCCTCACGGAAAATAATATATCTCTCAAGCTCCCCTTTCCATCAAAATGGAAGCTCAAGGTGGTACCGTGCAACATGCCAACATGGCAAAGAAGAATGACCAGGACAAGCAGCGTGACAGTAGCTCAGTGTCTCTATGGTGGTTAGGTAGACCTGGGGATATATAAGATTGCAAGGGTTAGCCACCTTGAGCGATTATGAGGACCAGTCTGGTCTACACCAGAGGTTTGGTTCATTACAACACAGAGAAGCTATAGGAGTGTAGAGCTTAGCCACCTTGAGCGAACAGGGGTACCCAAGCAATCCCATCAAGATAATATCTCTAGTTAGTGAGTAGACCTATTATCTTCTGGAAGACCTGAACCTGGATAAAATCATATGTGTTCAACCGTCCTTTTAGGCTAGATGACCGTGCGATCACAATCTTAATCATCAACGAACAACGGGCTCCTAGCAACTTGATCTGCCAACTAATAGTACTACAGATGGACAACATAGCTTTACATGCTGTATAGAAGTAGTTGTCAAATGTCAATTGCCAAGAGTTGAAATCACATACTTGATGTTCAGATTACTTGTCACTTTTGACCATAGCCTATGTCCCAACTCATAATCTTTCTTAAGCTCAAATACCTCATAAGCTCGATTATGTAAGTAACATGACTAGAATACGTCCAAATTCATTTTACACCATTAATTTCTTTGTATGATACAACCACATTTTATTGGTTAAATCATTTAACTACAGAAAAGCTGAAATTTTGCAAAGAGAAGATATGGGCATGTATTTTGAAAGGTGCGGAGTAAGAGTATTTTAAAAGGTGCAGAGTAAGAGAGTACAACACCCTTTGGTGTGGTGGTGAAGTTGAAGATGCATAACTCCACTCACAAATTCAAATACCATTAACCACATAGAGTGCATTCTTAGTTGGTGTAGAGCCCAGAAGTAATGTTTTCATTACGTTAAAAAAAGTTATTGATTTGATTTACTTCAATGTGAGTGAATTGAAACCGATAACAATTTGGTGGTATAATCTAGCTAAAAGAAAAAAAAGGTTCTTGGGAGGAAGAGAAGAGATGGGGAAAGTTGATTTCATTTGGTTCTTAAACCTTATTCCTATAATCCTGCTCCCAGGCTCCCAGCCCTAATGACCTAATTCATGCAACCTGGCCTACACCCATCTCATTTGTCGAACTTGCTACAGCAGCATCCGTGTTGGTTGTCGCCCCCTGCTTCAGCCGTGTCAGGCCGTATATCAATCTTCAGGCTGTGGCTAACATGAGAACTAGGGTAAATGGCATGCTCAGAAGACAAACTAACCCAGTTAGCATGTTCAAAGGGCATGCTGCATCCAGCTGCACTTTCAGAAACCTGCTACAGGTATTCAGGATTCAACCTGAACATTGAAGTACTGAGCACTGTTCCGGAAGCACATGAACCTCAAGCTTTTGCTCCTCCACCTGTATTTCTTCACGAAGGATGCCTGTTACTACTGCTCAAGATTCACCATACAAAAAGACAATGCAACCAGCCAACCATCATGTAGCACACAAATAAACAGGGTAGGACAGAGAGATATTTTTTAGATAATGGAAATGGTTTACATCTCCGGCTTATAGAACAGAGAGATATTAGATTATAAAGGGATAATCTGTTCTCCCATCAATTAAGTTCTCTATAGCATCTTCTGGCAATTACAGTTGCAGAGCAAGGTTGATAATAGCAGCATAATGTCAATTTGTCAGACTACAGTTTCCAGAATGCTATCCTTGTGAAGCACATTACATCACATCCTACTGTCTACTGATTTTCGTTCTAACCGAGGTTTGTTTACCTAACTTAAAAGATTCCACCTTTACATTCTTGCACTCAAATGGAAGCATACTTAGAGGTTACAGTGCGCTGAATTAAACTAAAGTACCAGAGATAACATCAGCCAAAAAGATACCTCCTCCCAAAAAGACAGCGTCCTGAATAAGAAGAAATACATACACTGTCAGAACAGTTTCCAAGAAAGAAATAATCGCGATCAGTTTGCAAACAAAATTCTACTCCAGTCACGATGGAAATATGGAACAAGAAGAGTTCTTCCATTCATTTTCCCTTCTTGAACTTTTGCCGGTAATGAAAAAAAGAAGATCAAGGTGCACACTAAAACTACTCCACAGTGTTTTAAGAATACTCAGAACCAAGGTACTGTTGAGATCTATCTAGTATCTATCTATCTATTATTATTATATATTAAATTAAAAGTCCATCAAACTTCCTATAAACGCTCCTAAGCCACCACGTGACGCTCCTACAAACGCTTCTAAACCGCCACGTGGCACTTTCTAATCTAACTGTCGATTTTCACTTAAATTGGTAAGCCCGTTATTTTACACCATTAGATTAGATCTATTTAAAAAATCCCTTCTTCATCTTAATGTCCCGGTAGGCCCGTTATCTATTTAAAAAAAATCACTGCTTATTCACGAGAAAAAATGACGTACATTACAATCTGATATACCCTTATGTACTGTTCACTTAAAAAAACCAAACAAACATTAGTACGCACAGCTATAAAGTAGAAAAAACATACTACGCTGTATGCTGATAGAACGACGGTTTTAAAGTAGGATTTTCTATATTTAAAATAAAATTTATTACTCCACATATATTCACGTATATGCACGGTTTAAGCTAGATTAATATAATGTATCAAATCAACTGTCTTTAAATTGTCTTTAAATGTTCATCTTTTAAATTATTTATGAAATATATATCTAACTTATAATATGTTGTATTCCTTTAATTAAATAAAATATTGATCACATATAATAGTTATATTATAGTGCTAAATACATAGTGCCGACATATAATACTTAATGTCATAATTATTTTTAAATAATTTAGCCAACATGTAATAATTAATGTCATGATATTTTTTAAAATAATTTCACATGATAAAAAGGATCAACTTGGTGTCAAATATCGCTTGACAAATATATAACACTCTATTATATACTAAAAGTCTATTAAACTCCCTACAAACGCTCCTAAGTTGCCACGTGGTGCTCCTACAAACGCTTCTAAATCATCACGTGGCGCTTTCTAAATCTAATCGTTGATTTTCACTCAAACTGGTAGGTCCGTTATTTTACACCATTAGATTAGATCTATTTAAAAAATCCCTGCTTCATCTTATTGTCCTGGTAAGCCCATTATCTATTTAAAAAATCACTGCTAGCTTCTTATTCACAAGAAAAATTGACTTACATTACAATCGGATATACCCTTATGTACTGTTCACTTAAAAAAAAACCAAACCAACATTAGTACGCACAACTATACAGCAGAAAGAAACATACTTACGTTGTATGATGATAGCACGACAGTTTCAAAGTAGGGTTTTCTATATTATAAAATAAAATTTATTACTCCACATATATCCACGTGTATGAACGATTTAAACTAGATTAATATAAAGTATCGAATCAGTTGTCTTTAAATGTTCATCTATTAAATTATTTATGAAATATATATCTAACTTATAATCTGTTGTATTCCTTTAATTAAATAAAATATTGATCACATATAATAGTTATATTGTATTGCTAAATACATGGTGCCGACATATAATACTTAATGTCATAATTATTTTTAAATAATTTAGCCAACATATACTACCTCCGTTTCAGGTTATAAGACTTTCTAGCATTGCCCATATTCATATAGATATTAATGAATCTAGGCACACATATATGTCTAGATTTATTAACACATATATGACATATATGTGGATAATGCTAGAAAATCTTATAATATGAAATGTTGGAAGTAATAATTAATGTCACGATAACTTTTTAAATAATTTCACATGATAAAAAGGATCAAAATATCACTTGATAAATATATAACACTAATTCAAATCTACATGCAGGGAGAGTGAAAGTGGTTTTTCAATTAGATTTGATTTAATTTTAATTTGTATGAGATTAAGATTCTCAATTTTTTTATAATTTTTCAGAACTATTTGGGTGAAATTTCCAGGCAATGATCTTGCTATAATACAATCCCTTAATCCATCACGTGAATTATGGTCATATATGTTTTTTCTTTGCCAAATAGATTTGGCAACAAATCAACAATCTTTGCATTAAACTATGTATCATATATTTCCTTATAGTTTAGAAATTCTAATACGACGAACGTAACTGATGATGTATGCCATACACCCCATTGAAGTGATTATAAATGCACTCCAATGAATTAGTTACTTTAAATAATTTTGGGAAAAATAAATATATTCTTAGGATTAGTAAAGATGTCTCATGCAATTATAACCAATACATGAACGAAAACAATTATATATGCTTCTAGAAGAGCACGTATGCAGAGAGGAAATTACAGTTTAATAAAACAACAAAGTAGGCGCTAATCTATAGATCTTTATCAAAATATAAAAATGATATAGTACTCCGAAGATTGTCATGATCGCATGTCCGTTTAGCTATAATTTTTTAAATGATCAAACTCACCTATTTCAAAAAGATTACTGTATCTATACCATAAAAAAATTAAGAAGAACTGATTAACACCATAAATGATTGTGTCTATACTATAGATGGCCATAAGGCCCGAGGCCCGAAGGCCCGGCCCATGGCACGACTTTTTGGCCCGGCCTGACTTGGGTCGGGCCCGTGCCGGCCCGGCGGTCTCAGCTAGCCTCGTCATCAGAATCATCTCAGCCATTAGATCAACGTGTCTTTGATGCTAAACCATTAGATCAACTAACCTCCGATGCTAATAGAAATAAATCAGGCTTGATCAACTCCCCTACAAAGAATGTGAGACAGTGCAAGGCACCTGCTGATTGTCGCACCTGAACCCATTCTGCGTGACGTGATATTGTCTCAAGACTAAATCATGGTTCTCGATGTTTTTAGTCATCAGAACATTTTGCATACATCTTCGCAGCCATCCAGTAGTATCTCAGTACAATAAAACACAAGTCAGTTTGGGAATATAGCTGGGTTGCTTTGCTCATTGAATCGCATATGTTCGATACACATTGAAATGAAAAATGGACATTTAGGGCCTGTTTGGCACAGCTCCAGCTCCAGCTCCAAGCTGGAGCTCAGCCAAACAGTTTCAGCTCCACCAAAACTGGGAGTGGAGCTGGGTAGAGCTATCTTACAAAATGAACTAGAGTTGTGGAGCTGGGTTTAGGCAGCTCCACAACTCCACTCCAGACCCAACTCCTGGAGTTAAATTTAGAAGTTGGAGCTGTACCAAACAGGCCCTTAGACACAATTTTATGTCAGCGTCATGAATCTGCCCCCTTTTTTTCATGCAAGTTTGTTCACCATCTTATGTCAACATTATGGATCCATTTTATATATTTTTAGAAAATTTTCCACTATGCCTGGGCCTCCCTGCCGGCATGCTAGGCTGGCCTGGCACGGTCGGGCCGGCCCGGCGCGATGGGCCGGCAGGCCAGGCCCGGCACACAAAGTATAGGGACTAAAAATAGACATATAAATGTAATTGTCCAAAGCATAGGGACCTTACATAGACTTATTTAGCTATTTATATACCACAGCCCAAAAAAGATGGAGGTAAAATAGACATTTTGTAGCTATATATATGTCACAGCCCAATAGGAGGGAGGAAAATTAGACTTATTCTGAGGAAACGCACCATGGCCCATCGTGCCTTCAGGCCAGCACAGCACGGCCCGAGGCGTGTTGGGCTGTGCCTGGGCCGTGAGTGCGGCACGTGGGCTGGCACGGCACGGCCTGGTGCGTCGGTCGGGCCGTGCCGGCCGACAAGCCTCGGCCCAGGCACGGCCAGGCCTGGGCCGCGCCGTGCCGGGTGGCCCACATGGCCATCTATAGTCTATACAAAACTTAAAAAAACTATTTTTTATTGGAAAAATACTTTCATCACGTACATTCTCTCTTTTTTTTTCCTTGGAGGGCACCGAGCGTGCTATGTTGCCATGAGTGTAGCCTAATGTTACACATATGACGTAAGATATGTCTATTTCCTCCGTTTCTATAAACTGCATGCAACTGAACCAATTAGAACAATCAGAGGGAGCATTACAACTAAAATACATTCATTAGGAATCAAAGTTTCTGCAAATTTCTTAGGAAAAGAGAGCGCCGATGAACGCTCAATTAAAAAAGGGAAAAATATCTTACTTTTAATTTGAACTTGAATTTATACATAGAAAAAATTTTCAAACTAAAATAATAGGATGCCCGCGCATTCGCGCGGGCAACCTTCTACTTCAAATAACAGTAATAATAAACACTACAAGAATGGTGACAGCCAAAAAGGCATCGTGCAGGGCTGGACTGGGGAGTATTTTCCCTCAACGCGTGCGCAAAATAGCATTTCCGTTAAATCACAGATTGTTTACCGAAACAAATGGCGTACACAAACAAGAACGAAACATAAACTCCCTCCATCCCACGCATAGTCAGCCCAGCGGGCTCCTGGTGATCTGTCCGTTCGGCCATCAGATCAGGCCATGGGCCGTACGCCCGTACGCTGCTCGGACTCGGAATGGTGGCCGACACGGAACGAGCTTTCCTAATCCTAGTAAACTCCGACACCGACTCTATCCAGATTCCGGAGAGTATAAATCCAGCCCTCCGCCGCTTCAACGAGCTACCAAACCAACACCAACCGCTACGTCTACGATCCAGAGAGCAATTTCAGCTTGAAATATTTTCAGCGCGCGAACCAAGCAAACAGGAAAGCGATCGACGCCCGCCGCCACTAGCCGGCGAGATGGTGTCCCCAGACTTGATCCGCAACATGGTGGGCATAGTCGGTAACATCATCTCCTTTGGCCTCTTCCTCTCGCCGGTGCCCACCTTCTACCGGATCATCAAGAATAAGGACGTGCAGGACTTCAAGGCGGACCCGTACCTGGCCACGCTGCTCAACTGCATGCTCTGGGTTTTCTATGGTCTCCCTATCGTCCACCCCAACAGCATTCTTGTCGTCACCATCAACGGCATTGGCCTTGTCATCGAGGCTGTCTACCTTACCATCTTCTTCCTCTTCTCCGACAAGAAGAACAAAAAGAAGATGGGAGTGGTGCTCGCTACAGAGGCTCTCTTCATGGCGGCGGTGGTGCTCGGCGTGCTTTTGGGCGCGCACACCCATCAGAGACGCTCCTTGATCGTCGGCATCCTCTGCGTCATCTTTGGCACCATCATGTACTCCTCACCACTCACCATCATGAGTCAGGTTGTGAAGACTAAGAGCGTGGAGTACATGCCATTGCTGTTGTCGGTGGTGAGCTTCCTCAACGGCCTCTGCTGGACCATCATACGCGCTCATCCGCTTAGACATCTTCATCACCATACCCAATGGTCTTGGCGTGCTCTTTGCTCTCATGCAACTCATCCTCTATGCCATCTACTACCGAACCATACCCAAGAAGCAGGATAAGAACCTCGAGCTACCAACCGTCGCCCCTGTCGCTAAGGACACCAGCATCGTCACCCCTGTCAGCAAGGACGACGACGTCGATGGCGGCAATGCCAGCCATGTCACCATCAATATCACAATTGAGCTATAAGCTAGCTTAGTGATCGAACATAACTGAGTGTCTAACACTCTAAGCTAGTTAGGTGTTACCAACTTCTACATTCAAGTAATAGTACTGTTTAGTAACCAATGTAATTTCTGTTTCTTTTATCTCATTGTGAAGTTGCAATTATATACATCACTAGAAAAAATACCCGTGCGTTACAACGGGTAATGTTATTTTAATCTTATTATTGTTATACAGTTTAGCTAGGATAAAATTCATTGCGGGAGTTTACTTGTATATATTTTTTTAGAAAATCATGAGCTGCAATTAGGAGCCCGACTTCCATCTCAAGTTAGCATGCAAGTTTTTTTAAAGAAATTTCTTGTACGACTTCTTCTGTATTTTCAAAAGCAGATGAACTTAAAATCCAACTCATACACGGATCTGTATTTCCAAAAGCGAACAAACTTAAAAACCGACTCAAGTACAGATGACGTGCCAAAATACTGGCAAAAATATATTCAATTTTTTATAATAATAGATATTTCAATTGGGTGTAGTGTAACAATTGACGGCATAATATGGGATGACACGAGATGATCAGAGTTGGATAGCAGACGAAAATTTCACCTGACGTCTTATGAATTTTTTAATTAGATATAGATAGATGGATACTTAATGTAAATTTGATACATGAAATTTAGCTCCGAGGAAGTGGAAAATATAGATTTGGGAGTAATGACCGAAATATTTCTTCTTTAATTTAATTTGGGATGTGTGACTCATTTGCATAAGAGCAAGTTTAATAGTATAGCTCACTACTATCTCCAATTTTATTTATAGCCAATGTAATAGCTAATTCATACAATAGTTGCTTACTATACTATTAATATATGGTCCCACCTGTCATACACACACGGTGTTTTGGAGTCCGCGCTGCAGCTGGCTACAGATCTGTAGCCTGCTGCTCTTCTGTCTCATCTTTTATTTTATTAAAATATATTTATAGCTGGCTAATAGTCTGCTATTGTACCTGCTCTAACTCTAGTTCCATACTAATGGCTATAACTTTAATGCATGCTGCATGCATGCATACATGAAACTCCCATCTGACAAATCAATTCTTGGCAGTCAGCAGCAATGCGGCATGATCAGAGACGCAATGCTATTCCATCGCATGCAAGAGGGGGTTTTAACTATTTGTCACTTTTAGATTTGGCAAATAACTATTTGCCACCCCTATCTCAATGACATGTGGGTCCACATGTATCTATGACATATGGGTCCAGTGGCAAAAAGTTAATTGCCACATCTAAATGTGGCAAATGGTTAAATATTCTCATGCAGGACGATGCAAACATTATCGATCGGTAATCATCTGGAAAGGCGCGGTCCGCGGAGCCATGCGACACACGAGGCGTGGACAGAACAGAGCGTACTAAAAAACGTGAGACATATGAGACGCAGAATCCGCCTTCGATCTCCATGGCGCGTCCGGATTCTACGTGGCACGGACAAGTCAAGCCCAAGCCGAAAAGAAATCGAAGACAAATTTTGACGACGTACGAAAATTCTTGACAAAAGCATCTTAAATTTTTATAACGCATTTGCTATTTTGTAGTCGCCTGCAAAATTTTAATCGATTAGTCAACTTTTGTGCACGCTATCGGGCTAGTGGAAAGGCTCTTTTTTATATGGGTCGTGCTTTTCCATCACCTTTTCCTTGCTAATAAACCCAGAGCCCGCAGCCCACAGCCTACAAATAGCTCTGGAAAAATCCACCACACCCGTGACTCTCTAGAGAGCTCTTCTGCTTCTCGACATTTCTGTTTCTCGAGCAGGAGGCGGAGTCCTACGAGCGGAAGGTGCCGGAGATTCTTCCAAGACAGGCAGTGGAGGGGAAGGGGAGGGGGGCGGCGAGAGGTGGGCTGCGCACTGCGAGCGGCCGCGGACGGCGCCGAAGAAGAGAGGCGGGGGAGAGGAGTTGATGCACTGCAGGTTTTTCATTTCTCTTTTTTGTTCAAATCCTCACGCCGTGGCGGCCTGATTTCCTTTGGTCCAGATTTCTATCCTGTGGATTGTGAGCTATTAGGGCTGGATTAGCTACCATTTCAGGGGGGGGGGATCCCGTGGAGTTTGTTTCATTGCTTGAGTTTTGAGTTGATTTTGCCCAATGTCGAGTAAAGCATCCTGGATCTGAAACCACATGGTGTGTGTGCTTTGATGTTTTGTTCGATGTAGTTTGGGAAATTTTTTTAGGGGTTTGCTGCACATCGTGTATGATATAGTCGGCGGGAGGTGGGCCGTGCCTCTGCCTGGTTCTAAACCTTGGCACTAATTATTTTCTCTCTAACTTCATTTGTTAGGGAGTTTTTCAGTTTCACTAGTTGGAACTGATATATCATGGAATGAACGCACATGGTTTTGCTCTAGATTTAGTCGTTAATCCTGTAGGCCAGTGATGACCTCTGTGCTGTGGCATTTTAGAAAGGGGTTTAGGGATTTGGTAGCAATTCGAGCTCAAGAACTAACCAATATTTCATTAAATCCCAGCAAATGCTCTTACATTTGTCCCTCAGTATTGTCAGATTATACAGGGAGTTAATCAGAGGTTACTATATACAGGGACAGTGTCACTGTATACAGGGAGGAGTTGTGTTTTCTGCTTGTAGACAAAAGCTATCTTTTGTTTTGTGTGCTGTGTATTTTTTTTAACGGTAGTCCTGCTCAACTGTGACATACTCCTGCTCAACTGTGACATACTAAGCCACTTTTGCTTCCATTCCATCAGTGATCAATCTGAGATAAGCCTCCCTGAAAATGAACTCCAGGCTCTGCTCCTATCAATTATGTTTAATCTTTTTGAGATTACCAGTAGATCACTGAGAGAGGAGAGTAATCACAATTCGCAAAAGCATCGGTCTGTGTCATTAGCAACTCAGCAAATGACAGTGGCAAACGCAAACGAGGGTGAGATTAATGGAAACAGTAGGATTAATCTGAAACTAAAATACAGAGAATAAATGGACAATATAATTTGCGATAGTACTGTATAAATGGACAGTATAAAGCATATCTCTTCATATGCTACGTACAGTTATGTTGTATCAATGATTCACTTATTTACTGCTTTAAATATGGCCTCAAACTAAAACCTATGCTTTCGATCAGCACATGCCCTTAAATTTTCATTATTTCTTTTTCTGAAAATTATGTATCTACGCTAGTTGCACTCTCTGACTATTGTAGTAGCCATTTTGAATTTTCGTGCAAGTCGTGTAATAATTTTGTGCAACTAATGTTTTTTTAACCAAATTTCCATTTACTTTGATAAATAGCGTTTGTTGTTTGGGAAAACATGCATACAAGTGAGGACTTTTGGTAGACAACTTGTTTTCTTAGTAATTTCATTGCCTTTTCTTTTTCTTTTTATTATGATGGGAAGGAGATTCAATTTTTGTTTTGCGGGACTCGGGATCAACACCACAACAAATCGGTGGTTCTTTTGGATGTTAGGCGAGCTCAGGTTTTTCTGGTGAAAAACCTGATCTGGTGAAAAACCTGAGCAAACTGCGGATGCTAATACAGTAGTAGTATAATCAACAGTGACTCTCTTTGCAATTTTTTGGCTGTAACTTGGGGAGTAGTCTAAGGATGGATTGGATATAGAAGGATTGGCAGTGGTTTGACAGTGGGATGGTAGAGCTTGTGGCTGGAAGTTAGTTCCCTTGTTATTAGTTACCTTTTTCTTCATTTTTCATAAATCCCTTTGGCAGTACTGATTTCTTTTTTTATAATTTGCACACCCTTTGGCAGTACAAAGTCTAACATCAACAACACCAGCACTAGCAAAGGAGCACCCCCTACAGGTATATGTTATTATTCTGTTAGTTTGTAAATTTTCGTTTTAGACAAATAGCACACAAACACAACAGATCAAATAATTGTGCCAATGCTAAGCAAAATTTCCCTACCACCAACACCAATCTATCCAGTCCAAAAAAAATGTTCATTCTGGACTATAGCATTTTTTTTACTTGGCATGTATACTTTCTTTAAAATCTGGAACAGGACTAAGCATAGCCTAGTTCTGCGTCAGTACTCAATGTTACCAGAACCATAAGTTACTAGGCCCAAATATCTGTTTTGTATTTCACAAATATAGAAGATATATTAGGATGTTCATACAGAGCCCTATTAGTCTATTGCTCAATTAAATTTTTCAAAGCGAACAACTATCTGTTGTTCATTCAATTTTTTCACATAAATCTTGTTTTTTTTGTCCCAGTAGGCTACCCATGGATCACACTGATTAGTTTTATTTTTTATCACTAATTTTTTAAGCTATAATATGCTCCAAGATTTAGCTATGCCACAGTCCATAGCTTTGCAAGCTGAAATTTTTTCAATCTGAAAATATAATCTCGCTGCACACCATCTACTCCATTTTTTTAATGTTGTCTCACTGGTAGCTGTTTCTTTGATATCTGTTTTGACAGCAATACTTTTTTTTTTGAAATAAACTTTTTTTCAGAGAATGTTACATGTTCCCAACTATATACCATACCACCATCAAAACCAACTGAACAAGAAAACTCAAAGTCAAACAGCAACAAGGACAACGCTTGCAAAGAAACGCAGCATGCAGGTTTTTTTGTTCAATTTGTACTATAGCATTATCTTGTTTTGTTCATTTTTTTATGTAACAAAAGTGTCATGCTCCCATAAACATTTATTTCGTTTGTTTAGTATGCTTAAGCAATGTCTTGTTTAGCATAATTTCACTCTAAAACAATCCTTTTCTAGATAAAAAAGCATCCAGTAAGGACTTTGTTTGTAGTCAGCAATCAAACAACTCTGTGGCATCCAGGACTAGAGCTAAGAGATTACATTCAGCATCCCCTTTGTCGGTTGTATCAATTAGCCCATCGAAAAAAATTCTTCTGACCAAAAGATTCGCAAAGCAGTAAGGAAACAGGTAAAAACACTATTACTTTTTTTATGTCATATCATTATATACAATACATTATTCATGGATTAAAAAATTACAAAAAAGTTTGCATAATATAAGTTCATTTTTTTCAGTCCTTGAAAGCAACATAACTTATCAGTACTCAACCAGACAGGGAAGAATCAAACAAGGATGGTCTTTTCGTGGAACCTATATGTACTATACTAGCCAAAAAGGAGGAGGTAAAGTTCAAAATTAGGCAAGAGTCAAAATTTCAAACCATTATATTTTTCCCCCTGGCTTTTCACTACATGTCATTTTTTTTTGTAAAAAAGGTGCAGCCCACCAAGAATTTTGAAAGCAACTCTACAGAGTTTGTTATTGATATAGAGGGGCCATATGATGCTGAAGACATAACAGGTCACACAACGGTAATAGAAAAAGATTTTTTTTGACTACATAATGTACTTTTTTAAAAAAATAATTTTTTGTTCCATTTTTGTTTCAATGATTTTAATCGATCTATATCTTTTTTTATTATGCTTTTTTAATATTTTTAGGATAAGACGAAGTTCATTCTTGTGAATTATTCAAACTCTTCAGAAGAACATAAGAGCCAAGATCCTACACAAGATGAATCAGACAACATTCCAAACAAGAGCACAAATGTATCAAACATATATCATGCATTTTAAAGCACTAGTATTTTTTAGTATTTTTTTATTGTTTGTTTTGTGAGCAACAAACCGCTTTTTTTTCATTTTCTCTTATTTTTGTGTATTATACACCTCTATTTTTTATATAATGTTTGTTTGCATTGTACACTGGTCCATAATTTTGTTTTGTGCATATTATATATGTGTGGATGATTTTTTAGAAGCAGATAGACATTTTTTTAGAAAACACCTCTATACACAAAACGATAGACTGCTGTGCCTATGTAGAGTTCAAATTTTAGAAAACAGATGAAACTAGAGCATAGAGGTGTTTTCTAAATCACTTTTATTTTTTTGGGTCATCTTTAATTTACAGTGTCATCTTTACTTATACACATCAAGAACAAAATCTAAACTCCACATGTCATAAAAATTTGGTTTGTCACAATTTTTCTACTAGTACCGTGTACTGATTTGTTTTATTGTTTTGATTTTAATCCTCTCAATTTTTGCAGCATTGATTGACTGATAAACTAACTTTTTTTATATCTGTGTTGCACTTTTAATGTAGAAAAAATGTACTTTATTTTTTTGATCTGTCCCGATTTGTAACTTTTTCATTTCTTTTCATGTAACTCACACAGAGCAACCTAAATTTGAATGCTTACATCATTTTGATGATAAATAAAAAACAAACAAAAGTGCCAGCCTTGGGCACTTCTTGTCCCAAAAAACATCAGGCACAAACATCATGGAAATTGAACATAGCAGCATGCAGGTGACGCAGGGGGAGAGGTACATGCACACACCAAAAACATGCATAAACAATAAAGATGGAGTTCAACATTTATCAGGCACAACTTTGACATTTTTTCTCTGTACACATAAAATGATTTTTTTGTACTATCATTAATTTATTTTATAGACGTAAGTACTAACAATCAAGGGGGGAATCAAAATGTCTAGGAAGAATAAAGAGATTAACTAGCCAAATTTATTTTGCACAATCATGTTAGATGTTTTTTTTCTTGTTACTCTTTTTTATTTTTATGTGGATGATTTTGTTAGCAAACTTCACTGCAAACATGGGGAATAGGAGGCTTGAGAGACAGCACTGTGATGAAAACGAGTACCAAGATGACTTTGCAGAATTCTTGTATGAAGAGGAACCATCAGATAACATCGATATGGTTGAACAACGTGCGGTAATAACCTCTGATTTTTTTTACTTGTCTTTTTTTTTCAAACATCAACCCTTTTTGGGGTATGCTCCTTACCGGACAATTTCTAAACTACTGATATTTTAACACCGGTATTATAGTATTTTTGAGAATAATTCTTATGCAAAAAAGAAATAATTCTTTTTATATTTATGAGATGGAGGTAGTAGTATAGAAGTATATATTGGAGGAATAAACTAGTAGCAAAAGCTGGCACTTAAAACATATAATAGTATCTTGGGATCCTAAACTTTTAATATAACAGCACAACCTAAAAGGTTTGTTGGTTTTTGGAAGGTCAGTCTACAATTGCAATTTTGATCAGAGCATCATCTTCTCAGTTCAGAGCAACTACCTCTTTGAGTTCACCACTTCCTTTCGAGTTCACAACAGCAAACACATCCTTTGAAGTTCATATCCTTTTTCTTTTACTTTTATTTTTCATCGTTGCAGCAACCACAAATAAACAATGAGCAAAGTAGCCCTCAAACACCACTGCACATAAACATTGCTTCTGCAAGGACACCTGCTACAAAACAAGTAATACAAATTGTAAGTACTTTCCTATCAATTTTTTGCTTAATTTTTTTCAATCAGCACGACATAAAACTATGTCTTATACTCTTTATACATTATTACAATAAATTCTTTTTTCCTATTTTTCACTTGTTTTATTTTTTAATGCAGAGTTCACAATCATCACCTGATATAGGTATGAATTCTCCAAGAATAGCACAAATAAGGGAACCAAATCAACATGCTCAAATAGAAGAAAGACAATATTCAATGATAAGAATCATCGACTCACTAAATGCTTCTAGCAACTGCTCTGGTACCAGACATAATCTTTATCGCCTTAAAAGAATTGTCCATCCAAGTAAATACAAGAGCTCACCATATGACAACTACACACGGCACCAAACCATCTCGGCAGCTGAACTCAATCACTACAACAACATACTCAGCATTGGTGAGACGCAACAATATAAATAGTAAGTGTCACAAAACAACATTATAATGGTTGCTTTTTTACATTTCCTTTTTTTAGATTTTGTGATCATTTCAAGCTTTTTTTATTTAAAAAGAAATGGGAGGTGGGGTGTTTTCTGTAGTTTTTGACAAATGTTGTTCATAACATAGAGTAGAACATGCACCGCTGAAGTGATACATGTCGCACTAATTTTCCACTTTTGATTTAGATTTTATATTTTGTATGATAATCCTGAAGTGGTAGGCGCAGCTGAATTTTGCATTAACAACCAAATGAAAGTTTATCACTATTTGTTTAACACAACAAGGCATGCAAAGAAGGTGAAAAATCTATGACATTACAAATTATTTTTGCATTTTTTCATAATATGCATAACAAAGAGCATGTGCTGACTATTTCAATTTTCTGAATTTAAGTAATCTAAACTTTTTTTGTTTTGTACTCTTTCTGCCTTAAGAGTACTAAGCATTACTAAAAGCATTTATCTTCTTTATTTCTAGTACAGCAAATTTGCAGTTCTAATGGACAATGTAAAAGTCACATGGTCATCATTGTCTAAATCTCTATCACCAAGGGGAGTGGTGGATACATATGTCCTCAACGCATATGCCAAGAAGATTGCCAACGACCAGAATAACAAAGAAAATGAATACAGGAATTTTTACTTCTTCCACAGAACTAGTGTATGTGATTTTTTCATACTTTCTACCACATACATTTTTTCTCATCTCCAGTTGTAGCACTTCAAAATTCTCTACCATTTTTTCCACAGGTTTATTTCTTGAAGAATTGGGAAGGTACTGGAAAAGAGGAAGACTATGAAAATTGTGCAAGACAAGCCTTTACATTTGCTAGGAACAAGAAACCTCTGCACTACTATGAATTGGTTTGTACATTTTTCTTTTTCAAACATAAAATTGATCGGCTGTGGTTTTTATGTTATGTAGCTTATTTTCCCATGCCTGTATGACAATCATTGGTTTGTGTTTACTGTGGACATCAAGGGGCATCACTTTGTCTTCCTGGACTCCATTTATGATGAAAACAACAAATATCATAAGAAAATTCAAGGGCTACTGGTGAGCTATACAAATTTTGTTCTTTTTTTTCCATACAATTTTTTTATAGATGCATCCACTGATTTTTTTTTCTGGTATTTTTTTTTCATGCTCCTCTTGTTATACACAGATACCAGGATTAATTGCAATGTGGGAAGAATTCTCAAATGTGGAGAAAAACTTTAGTAAATTTGATATCCAATACCCACCAATTACTTGCCAAAACAATGGGTAGCTGCCTATCAACCCCAACAAACATCCCCAAATTACATATCATTTTCTTTTTTGTCCAAAACTCCTCCCTTTTTTCCATGATTTTTGTTTTTCTTAAATGAATTATTTTTGTTTTTGTCTCATCAAGCCATGATTGCGGAATCTACGCTATGAAGTGTATGGAATGGTGGAACCCAAGGATGCACTTGAAAGATATGATCAGACCAGAATATATCCCAAACATGAGGAAGCAAATTGCAAATGACCTATTGTTCTCAGAACACAATTCACAAGAAGAAGCAAAAATGCTATCTAGAAGCTTCAATCCAACAAAGCATGGAAAATACGCAAGGCAACAGTGAAATAAACTCCTGTTTTTGTTTGTGTACCAACAGATTACACAATCCTGTTTTTTCTGTAAAGCCCATGAGATGGGGCCACACACTACCTGGTAGTAAGAGAGAGAGATGTCATATTTTCTGTTTTTTCAAGCCCATGCAGTTTGGGTTTATGTGAGTCCTCAACTTGTTGAAAAAAATACTATCTAGTAACATACAGTTTCAGTTTTGTTTTGGTGCACAAATGCAAGATACACTTATATATACGAACACTTTGTGCTTTGCTTGTGTTCTATGTGCTACAGCTGAGTTCTAAACTCTAGGATATGTGTTAGCAAAATTTTGTGCTATGTGTTTTCTATGTGGAGCTTAATTCCTGTACTAGATATGATAAATCCAATATCATAACACCCAAATATTAAAAAAGGACCTGTATTTTTTTAGGATTTCTTTATGTGTTTTACATGATACTGATCGTCTCACTGATGAGAGATATCTGATGAGAGATACTTTTTCTCTTTTTAACTGTGTTCAGGTTCAATTGTTTTTTTGGGGGGTGGGGGGGGGGTAGGGAGTGAGGGGAGGACAGATATACGTTAAATACAACAGAAGGAAGTGAAGACAAACTACGGTATGCCATTTTTCACACAAGCAATTCTTTCTTTTTAACAATCAGTTATGCCTGCAAAGCCAACCATGTAACTGTATTTGCACCATCCAAAAAACACACAAACAAAAGGGGGTAAAAACATACTGTGGAATGCCATTTTTCTTGATGTTTCTACTCATAAGACATAGGCCAGTCATTTTTTTGCTACCCAAAGAGTTTTATGTCCCTAAAGTTCTCTAGATTTCCTCTCCTTCATCACTTCTGTTGCATTTGACTTCTCTTTTTTTGGGACAAGTCCGAATGTTATGGTCATGGGACCCACAACCACTACATGTCACTGAACCCTTGCTTCTAATCACATCTATCAGCCTCTTTTTTCTTGGCTCACTCTTGTACCTGCCTTTGCTATTAGAGCATTTTGGATCCAGCAAAACAGAAGTAGAAGCAATTCCAACCATATCTGTTGTTTCAGTTTCAGCAACCGCACCCTTTGTGCTCTCAGCATCAATACCAACACCACTAGGACCCATCGGTATACCAGTTTGAGCACCAACAGAAGCTACACCACAAGTTGTCGCCGCCGCATCCTGAACATGAACAGTAGCATCATTAGGAGCTGTGTCACTCATTGCCTTCAACCCATCTTCAATCTTGTCACTTTCATTCATCACATATACAAACTTTTCTTTTGTTTTTGATGCATCTGAAGCCAACTTAATCATTTTCTGTGACAAGATGTTGAACCTGAGTAAAGGGTTGCTTTCAAGAACAGCAGCAGGCATCAATGTGTTTGGCACAAATAATTCTTGGTTCTTGTCTTTCAGCCTCCATCTTTCAATAAAATATTATTTTATCAGGTAGTTTTGTTATGTTCAAGTGAATGAGTACTTTGAGCACATGAACACACAAAATACCATCCTTCTTAAATCTTGAACAGATACATTCATATTCTTCAGCTATAGTATCAACAACCACAATATACTTCCTTTTTCTAAAATCCTGCAGTGCATGAATCTCTGATTTGTACACCTCAAAAATAGAATCGCGCACTTTCACGGTCACATCATACTTGGTATAGCTTTGCAAGATACGCTGAAATGCCCAAAATATCTTCCTAGTATACAGTTTTGCAGCTTGCTTCTCAAATTGATATTCTGACCAAGTATCTAGAACAGTATTCCTAGTCAGCGATTCCTGTTCTTTGAAGCACTCATAAATTGTTTCTGCAATCCTTTCATACTGTGCTAGGAATGCAGAAACACTATGAGATGAACAAATGTCAGCTTTGTACCTTGAATTCATCCCCTCACTCCTTGCTGTTGTCTGAATCAAAGGGCACCAATTGCTTTTGAAGTAAACTGGTGCCCATCTCTTTCTAGTGACCCACAAGCTAAAAATACCTAACATTATACAGATTCTTTCTTCTTATGAAATCTTTCCACAAATATTCAAATTCAGCCTCTGTCTGGGATTTTGTAACAATATCATGGAAATCCTTGTAAACTTCTTCATCCTCTGAATTGAATGTCCTTCCTGTTTTGTCCCTTGCATTTGATAACATATGGAACAGGCAATTCCTATGAACAGTGTCTGGAAAAACTATGGCAATAGCAGCTTTCATTGCCAAGTCTTGATCAGTTATAATAGTAGCAGGAGCCTTGCCACCCATACAATCAAGGAACGTATTGAACAACCACTGAAAAGTCTCACTTGTTTCGTCTTGTAGGAATGCATAACCAAATAGGCAATTGTCACCATGACTAGTTATCCCTACAAATGGAGCAAAGGGCAAATCACACCTATTGGTCTTGTACGTCGTGTCAAAACTAATTATGTCACCAAACATCTCATAAAATTTTCTGATGTTCCCATCGGACCAAAATAGACTCTTCACAACATTGTTCTCATCAGTTCTGAATCTGAAATAAAACAATGGATCCTCTGATCTTTTCTTCTCAAAAAAATCCAAACACTGCATCATGTCATTTTTCCCACTTTCTCTTCTAGTACAATCTCTATAATTGCTCACAGCCTTTTTTGTGTAAGGAACTGCAGACAAGCCACCCCTAACATATGACAAAACAGACATAATCATCCTTGTGGGCACATTGATTTTGTTCAGAGTTCTTATCAAAAGTTTCTCCTGATCTGTCATATGTTTGTGAGACCTTAGGAATTTTCTTTCTTCTGGTGGAGATAGTGGATGATTGTGCTCTAGATTAAGCCTTGTAATGTACCAAAAGCCCCTCTTCAATGTTATCACCATCTCAGCTTTGCAATTTGTGTAAACCACTTTGTTCTGTTTTCTTTTTTTTTCCTAATGGATTTGTTGTGTTTATTTGCAGACAATTCTCAACTTCATCAACCTCAGGCAGGTCCTTCTCCTTTGGATCACTTGGTTTCCTCCACCTGTTGCATTTGAATGTGTGCCTTGTCACAATATCGGTTTTCCTGCTATGGTAATTGCTAGCTTTGCATGTAGAGAAACCAACCATATAAACATAACCATTGTAGAAGTCAAAAGCTTCATTCTCATCAGCAAAAACTTTGTTGATTGACGGCACATGTGCACTGTTAGCTTCCTGACCACCTCTCTGAACAGCTGTTACACTTTCATTCTCCATAAATATGTTTATATCTTCCTCACTAAAATTTTGATCTGGATTTTCTGCACTTTTATCTTGTTCTATTTCCTCAACTTGCTGAAATGTAACTATTGCATGATTAGACAATAAATCCTCTTCTGTTGCTTGCTCAAAGTGCTGGTCAAAACAGGCATCAGCCTCAATGGTTTGAGTCTGCATTTCATTATAAATCACTTCTACAGATGATGCTTTCAATTGTACTATTGACCTGCACATCTCAGCTTGATTATTAACATCAGCACTTGATTTCTGCATTTCATCATATAGCATGTCCAGTGATGCCACAGGAGGATGCACAGCTACACTTTGTGGCAAAGAGTTGCACATCTGAGAGGTATCTGTTTGTGCATTTTGCAGGTCATTTTGTTGATAACCATTGTGAGAATCGAAACTCCAAAAGGTGTTGTCATACTCAAATCTATTGGATGTCAAATATAGAGCAGTCTGCAATGGTAAGAAAAAAAAATTCTAATAAAGAGACCTTTTTATAATTCTATTTTGATTTGAACTTTTATCCATATTAGCTATATCCACATCAATCATGAATATGTTTTTAATCAAATAATGGGATGGCACAGCACAAATCAAATAAACAAGAGGGAACACACCTCTGATTCAATAGGAGCTTGCAATAGCTGCATGAAACTGCCACAAGTGTTTTGGAGCAAGGGAAGACCACCCTGTTTTGCAAAAAAAAATACAGTGGGGGTTATGACTGTGCACATAAAGTTTTAGTTTAAACATTTTCATTTAATATGTGTTTTATTTCTACTCACTGCCACCTGAGCACCAGGAAGAATTGCATTAGGTAAGACAGAGACTTGCTGGAATAAATTTGTATAGGTGATGCCTCCCTCCTGTGATAACCTGAATAACATCCCATAGTCTTCATTTGATTCTGTCTCTGTGCCCTGTACATTTGGATAGATGAAAAAAAATGACATTACATCCTTTGTACAATGTAATGGCATTGCATGGACAGAGAGCTCCCATAATTCAAAGAATGACCACAAGAGAACAACTACTTGAACCAGAGCAGTTTTAACAGTTAGTGAATCAAGATATTCTGAGTTGTGCACTATTAGAAATTCAGTCACCCTATTGTGCATAAGGAAAAGCAGACACTCTGCACAAGATTTGCTATAGTTGATTGCAGTATTGCATTACAACCACATGAAAAAATAGACCAGATCAATATTGTGTTGCTTATGAGTTTTTATATAATAAAGTTTTGCGTAGGGAAGCAGCAGAAAACGCAGGGACAATGGAAAGGGAAGAAAAGCAAAAAAAAAAAGAGAGAGAAAGGAAGAAGAGGTTAAACTAGAGAGAGGGAACACAGAAAAAAAAACCTCCATCAAGTAAATTTCCTCCAAGTTCTTCCTGTTCTTTCCTCAACACACGTTGTTCTTCAGAGGAAGGGAGTGGTGGAAAGGGAAGAGAAAGCAAATAAAAATCAAAAGATGGGAGGAAGAGGTGAAAAGGAGGGAGGTGGGAACAAAGAACAAAGAGAAAAACCTCCGTGAAGTAAAAATTTCTCAGGTTCTTACTGTCCCCCCCGAGCACACGTTATTTCTTCTTCTTCGTGTTCTTTCTCTCCCTTTCTCCTTTTTGCTTTTCCAATCTGAGTTTTGATCTCTCCTCTCGTTTTTCTTTTGGATCTAAGTTTTGATCTGAGTTTCTATCTTGGAGCACAAGACATTTTTTTAAGGAACCAGGGAGTGGACCATTTTTGTGACAGAACCCAAATCGGAGCTAAAAAGCCCAAAACGGGTATCATGTGAGAGCCCAATTGTTTTGTTGAAAAAAGCCCAAATCACAGCTAAAAAACTGAAAATCCAGACTCACTGAATTACAACCCAAAAAGACTCCGGCCCATACCTTCGCTGGCCCATAACACAGCACAAAAAACTGGGGCCCAAATATTGGGCTTTTGTAAGTTTTTGGACCCAAAAGTGTGTTTTAACCAACTTTGGGCTTTGGGCTTTT